ACATTATCCGCCGTACGTGGAACGCGTAGGTATTCTTTTTTTTTACATTTATTTTACGGAAAGCGATAGAGCGTGGCTCACAGTGTGTTTTTTCTTCCACATCTGGCGGATGATGTAGGAAATACTTGCCTGGTCCGTCTCTCCCGAAATTACTCTAAAGTCTCAAAAATTCCAAACTCCTCTATACCTTCCTAACTCACAGCAGTCCTGTACGAAACTCTCCTAACAATTTGTCCCAGAAAAATCTCTCCTCCGTCTCTACGACAAGGAAAATTCTACACATTTATCGCGTAGCATCGAGAAGAAAGAAAGAAAAAACGGTGCAGAAACCGCTAACCACTGAAACACTACCTCCACCCCTCCTCCTACCCTGTGGTATTGCTAAATAAAATCACTTTCTCACGGTTGAACTCGGAATAATTACGAGTGGCGGGCAGGTTACGCTTGTGCACCGGCAGCCAAGCTCGCTGGTATACACGGTATCGATGAAATACCGATAATCGATTGCCCTCTACAAGGCATATATCCGGTAAGGTCGATGGCTAAACACGCGACCGCCGTTATATAGCCAGCAATTTGTACCGTCGGCTGCGGCGGCGGCGGCGGCAGTGGCGGCGGCGGTGGTGGTGCACTCCGTTGCATTATAATGCCCGCTTATTATTTACGAGCCGTGGCTGGCTGGCTGGCTGGTTGGTTGGCTCCAAGGGTGGCAATATATCGACACCCCGTGGAGTTTCCTCCTTTGGCTACTGGTTACCATTCATAATGGAGCATAATGGGCTTCCCCTTTCCTTGGACCAGAGGCCCGGGGGTTTCCAGCAGTCAGAGTGCAACAACCCCCCATCGACGTTAATACTACGCGGTACACATACCTTGTCATATGTATATCTCTGTCTCTCTTTCTTTTTCTATGTCTCTTTCAGTACGTAGGTTAGGCGTGTATTAGGTAGATATCGGGGGCGGGGAACATTTTTTTGCACTTTCTGTAATAACGTGAAAATTTTCGTTCTTTCGATTCTCTCGACTACTCTTCATTCGGGAAAGAAAGAGTTTTGGATGATTCTTTTTTAGATCTCGACGGGTAAATTGTGATTATTATAGAAATGTACGAATTATTGGATAGAAAGAAATTAGGTGGTAATGATGTAGGAATCCGAGCTATTGGAAGAAATTAATAATTAGGAATCCCTCGATCGTCGACACGCGTTTTTGCGAAGGTGAGCATCGCCTAATCTTAAATAGAAGAATGTTCTGGAAAACGAGAGTGCGATTGTGTGTGTGTGGCCTAGAAGTAAACGAGGCAGGCCATGGGAGCGAGTCTTAGAGCTGTAATAGCATAGAGACATTAAAGAGTGTATCTTCTAGAATAACACCTTTAATAATGTTCTAAAACAAAGCAAGTTTTCACCCCAGTCACCGCTTCTCGCAACATATTCCACGGTAATGTAATCGTGTAACGATGAATAAATAAAACGAGAGTACGAAATATGGATAACAGGGGACCTAACCTTTATGTTTCTATTTGCATTTCAAAGAAGTCCTATTGTAACGTTGCGTGTATAAAATTGTCGTCCTATTCTAAAATCACACTACTGTTCGTAATTATCGCTTCCGAAGATTAGCCCCTTAACCTATGATTTCTTTTCTGACTGTGCATCCAAGCGTCCGCCATTTAATGTTTCAGTACTGTGTCAGGTAACGAAAGCTAACCTGTTACGGATCAATTGCATTTAGGAATCCTTGATCTTACAAATTAAAACGAAAGCTAGGATTGCAATTCAGTTTTTCAATTAATATAACTATTTTTCTCATATCTTGACAAGAATCTCTGCCACGAGCCTGACGCTTTGTTGCAGGTTAAAAGGTTAACTTGAAAATTTTTCAGGTTAGGTTATAGGTAATTAAGGATATAATTAAAGCAGTGAAAAGATAGAAGTGTGATTTACAAAGACTAACCTTAAAATTTTCAAGGAGACAAAATGGCGCGCCTGTAAGTGGTTGAACAACCCGATAGGAACGAACAGACGATTTTCGAGAGTCGCGACCGCAAATTGAGTGGCAAAATCGATTAGCCGCGTCGTCGGGAATCCATTCGCAGGAAATCGACTGCTCGCGGAACCTGGGTCGTTCGTCGAGCATGAAACCGATCCGATTTCAAAGATCCTCAGGCTCCTCTCTCTCTCTCTCTTATCCTTCTGCACCTGCGAACTGTATCCGACATCCGATACCTTTTTCTTCTTCTGTTCACCCCGTGTTCACGTCGAAGGATCTGAAACCAAGTGGAAGTTGTCCCTCCCGGCGAAACTTACGTTTTTCCATTCCATAGCCCGCTCTGTTCGATAATTCGATCGAACCCTCGTTTTTCATCTGCCACCACGAATTATCCTTCATTTCACAGATGGAACAATTTTTCGTTACGGGAATCGTGAACGTTTCTCTATACCTATAGGGTAAGAAACGTTCACTTTGCTGTTTCACATACGGAAGATTCTGGAAAATTGTGGAAACCCCGGGAGTTATCAACACTGTTCTATTCTGTCTTCAGTTCTGTACTCAGAATTCTAAGTCACCCGCCACAAAATTTCATATTTAAACTGGGCTTGAAACATTAAAATATTAATTTTAATGTTTAATTAAATACGTTCATGGAAAAGTTATAAATACATTGCTATGAATAAAAATTATTTTGCTCCTAAAAGCAGTGTTACAATGGCGTTTTTGCCCTGTACGCGAACAGGCCCAGGGAGAAACCCAAAGCGCTGGACCTGGCTTCAAGATGCTCGCTTCACCGTCTTCGGGACGGATTTTCTCACACTATTGTAGGAGTAGAGTGAGAGCGAGGGTGAAGGAGAGAGAGAGAGAGAGAGCCGCATTGTGTGTGTGTGTGTGATCCGCGTTTCATGGGCAAACTATCGCGCTACAAGTCGCGGATCACACACACTGCCAATGCGGCTCTCTCTCTCTCTCTCTCTCTCTCTCTCCTTCACCCTCGCTCTCACTCTCACTCCTACAATAATGTGGAAAATCCGTCCCGAAGACGGTGAAGTTTCATGGGCAAATTATCGCGCTACAAGTCGCGAATCACGCACACACACCATGCGGCTCTCTCTCTCTCCTTCACCCTCGCTCTCACTCTCACTCCCACACTATCGCAACAGAAGCGAAGCTCCGAATCACCTCCACTAATTGGAAAATTTTTGAAAAGCCTTCGATAAATTCCTCGTCAAAGGACGATCTCTCGTTCCATTCCGCGCAAAGGTGACAAAGGGCTGCGGAAAGGTGTGGATAAAATGAAAAATTAGCAAATATACAATTATCCAACGCCACGTATGGAGTATCAATATCTTATTTATTATTCTCATAATCCGTCTATACATTTGCATCGGATAACATATGGTAACTACAAAGAGCGACGGCATCCGTTCGCCGGGCGAGAATCTAAACATCTTTTAGAGCCGTGATACTTACAGGCAAACACTTATGTATAATTCGATCGTGTCTAATACGTTCGCGCGTTCCTCGTAACCAGAAAGGAAAAAGAACGAACTCTCTTATCTCCCATCTCCGTGATTTTTTTTTTTTCTCTTTTTCATCTTTTCGCAAAATCGTATTTTATTTTTTTTTCCTTTTTGTCGTTTTCTCGTTTAGGTATAATTCGCTGTAACACTTTCGCTAAAACATACTCCGTGACGTAGCTGTTCCGGTATAATTGCAACGACGACGATTAGGCTAAAGCGATTCGCGCGTATTTACAGGTCTATCTCTCCCTCGTCTCTCCTCCTCTCTATTGTCCCGAAGCCGCACTTTTCGTTCGTTAATTATCATCGTTCTCTCCCTTCTCAATCGTGACGATACAATCCTTGCTTCCGTTTTTCTCTTCTTCTCATTTTCGGTTTGTCCGGCTCGAACGTTACCCTACACACATACTTCGTTAAGTCGCTTTATCTACACATGTATAAAGATATATCGTTACGACGAGGCTTCTTCTTCTCGTGATTATTCGTCAAATAACGAAACTGTGTATCAACTGTTCAGTGAATTACTGGCCACACACTGTTTCTTGGTTTGTTTTCTTTTGGAAAATTCTCGATTCGAAAGTTCTCGACACTGAGACACGTGACGACGGAGATCTTCTTTTTCGAAGAATTTTCATTTCTTCTCGAGTAATCTGGGGTTTTCCAACGTGTCTGAGTTGCATTCGAGAAAGGCTTGCGGGATCAGTTTTCTTTATCAGTCGGAATTGAAAGAATTCGAGTCCTCCGAATTTTTAAGTTTCCAGTGGAAAGCTTGGAAAATTCATTTTTTCGTTATTAGGATTCTCGGTGTGAGAATTGTCGGATATTAAGATACACCTATTCTTCTTCAGTTGCCCCATCGGAGTCTTCTGCCGCGGGAAAATTCGAACAGTTTGGAAAAGTGCACAACGAAATTAAGTTATCTTCTCATTTGTAAATTCTCCCAGATTTCTTGCCATACCTTATCACCGTTCACCTCTCCGATCCCTCTCGCGGAAGACACTTCGAACTCTTTCATAAATTCGCCCAGATTCCTTCGCATATCCGTTATCACATTAACCTCTACTCTCGACTGCCCTCCTTCGGAAGAAGCTCGCTCAACGACCTCGAATCATCCTCTAACTCTCGAAAATCTCCCCTCGGAAAACCCTCGATCCTCCGTGGTAATCCTCCAAAAGAGACAAGTGATCGTCGAACAGATCGCAACGACCGCGAATCTTCAACTCTCGTCGGAGAACCTCCCTCGCGTAGTAATCTTCCACCAAAGAGAGGCAATGTCATCTCGAACGTTCCAATTTTCCTCCTCGACTTGAGAACGACGTCGAATCATCGTTCAACTCTCGAAATCTCTCCCGAAGAGAACTGCGATCCTACGCGGTACAATCTTGCAGAGATATAAATGTTCGAACGCGCCATTTCCTCGTCCCTTCCCTCGATAGGCTGCTATTGCAGGTAAGACCAGGTGGCGGCCTGCGCGTCGTCCGGTCACTCGGAGTAGCTGGTCTTGTCGCTGGCGTCGTCGGGACTGGTTTCCCGATAGGCGTCGCCGTTCGTGTGCAGGTTCTGATTGGGCGGCTTGATCACCGTGGGCAGGTAACCGGTGCCGGCGTAAGGCGCAGCGAGGAACCTGTGTCTGGTCGAGGGGATGGGAGTGGTGCAGTACGCGGCGCGACTCGCGTACGCGGCGGACACAGAGGCGGATGCGGCGGCGGCCGACGCCAGCGCGCCAGCCAAAGGTGAGAACGCTGACTTCGGTTGGAGACTGTCCTCGCAGACCAACACCTCCATCGCGGACACCACGTCGCCTAAGGGACACAGATACCTATTGCCAAACTTCTCTTCGTTTACGTACAATTTGTTGCTTTTGCTTTCAGCGTGTATCGGGTTGTTCGGAAAGTTCTAAGCGAAATTTCAACCGTCGTGTCTCTGCTTCTAATTGACGTGGTAACGAAAGTTAAACGGTATTTTCCTAGTCGGGAGACTAGTTTTCTAGTCCGAAGCATACCGACGCTCGACAGCGGGAGACTTGTCAGGGCTCACGCTCACTCTCTCTCGTGTTTTCATAAATTTATCCATTGCCGAAATGGATTTGAGCGGTACTGAAAGAGATGAAAACGTAATATTTGCTGATAGATCGTCAGATTATTCTTGCAACGATAGTGAATTTTCGGACAGTTGTTGCTCAGAAGATAGCGACACTGTGCCTGTGAAAAATCGCAATCGTTTTCGTTCTAGTAGTGACTCGGAAGAAGATGAAATTGATTTGGATTTTTTCACTTTGTGAATTTGCTCGGGTTTGCCCGCTACAGATGTAAGACGCGCGAAAAGTAGCCCGACAGCAAAGTGTTAAAGGTGACTCCAAGGTGCTGCTCGAATTATTCGTAAGATGAATAGAGATGGATATAAGTCGAAGCTACCCGACTACAATTTCAGTTAGGCATACCTAAAGACGAATGTGGGCCTAATGCGGAAAGGATTAGGCACACCTAAATGCTGCAAGCCTAATCGTTACCGCATTAGGTCCTAATTCGGAAGGAATGATGTATGCCTAAGTTGGGTATTCCTAACAGTTGCCATACGTGGCCCAAATAGGGGTGGCCGAGCGCACGCCTAAATTAGGTGGAGCGGGGCTCTTAAACTTATATGTATGAATATTTACAGACATCTCAGTGTGGGACGTACGCTTGCGTGTGAGCTTTCAACAAGATAAAAGTTTTTAGAACTTAATCCATACAGTGTCTTGATGAGGTATTCCTCGTGAGATTTCATTAATGTCTCCCAATGACAGCCTAATAAAGCTATTCTAATATGGGCCTAATGCGGTTGGCCTCAATGGGAAAGCCTAATGCTGCCCTAACGCAGCTTTCCCAATTAGGCGATCGTGAATATTCCGCGTTACATACCGCCTAACAGGCAAATTAGACTAGCCTAATGCGGACCTAATATCTGCCTAATTGAAATTTCTAGTCGGGTATGTTCTCTGCAGTGGAGCAAGGATGTTGAATTTTTCGTGGCAACGCTCCTTAGGAGTAATTTTTGGGGTACACCGGATTTATCTTCGAATAACGAGTAAAATACCTTTTGGTTTTTGTCGCTGTCTCAATTAGAAACAGAGATACGTCAGTTTGAATTTTTCTTACATTTCGCTACGAACTTTCCGGACGACCCAATATTACAGTCGGTGTGGAATTTTTCGTCGACGTTTCAGAAGTATATCGTGGAAAATTATTCGGGTGTAGAAGGAACAGATTAGACAGCCAGAGATTGCAAACGAAGAAAGGAAATCTCGTCTAACGGGTGACACGAGAAACTTAGAAACGCGAGATATGTTTACAGCAAGTGACGTTACGTTAGGTTTATCGTCGAACCTTCGAAGTATCAACCCCTTCGGTACCAAGCGATTTTTAACGTTCCACAAGTGTTCGGATAATTGCTAGCAGAAAATACCCCGCGGTGCTCAGAAGTTTGCCCCCGGGGCAGCTCGGGGGCAAGACGGGCACTTATCCCGCCCGCCGGGCGTTTCGTGCGCACCTCTCATCGCGCAATTTTCTACGATTCGATACGTCGATGTTATCGGTCAGGCCGATAACGACAATAAGTATTGGAGAAGGTGGACAGACTTCCTTCCAGGGGCAAAATCCTGAGCTCTGCACAGTTTCAGAACGCACACGGTATTTCATTTAGGGCAATTTCGGGAGAGACGGACCAGCCGAGTATTTCCTAGATCAGAGCTGCTTAACTTCTTGATCACGAGCAAATTTCCCCTCCCGAGATTCCCTCACTATGAGACTGCGATGATCTCGCTCGAGTTGCGGCGCGGCGGGAGGACGCGAGAAGGAGTCCTCCCACCGCAACTCCAGCGACTGCCTTTTGTTTATGTTACACATTCTGCGTGTTCGTACCAATCGTTTCGTACCAAAAAACTATTGCTGGAGTTGTGGTGGGAGGACTCGAGCGAGATCATCTCAGTCGCATAGTAGGAGAACCTCGGGAGGGGAAATTTGCTCGTGAGCAAGAAGTTAAGCAGCTCTGTCCTACATCATCCGCTAGATATGAAACAAAGAGCACCGAGAGCCACGCTCGATCGCTTTCCGTAAAACAAAAGAATACTGACTACGGCGGATAATGTAGGAAATACTTGCCCGGTCCGTCTCTCCCGGAATTACCCTAAATGAAAATTTCATCCCCCGTTCGTAAAAATGTCGGACATTATTTCTCCGCAATCTCTTTCTTCGCGGTGTACGCGTATTCCAAGAATCAAACCCGTGAACCCAGTCTCGCGAGCGAAGGGGTTGAGATACTCGAACGGAAACTCGAGAACGGGGTCCTCCCGCATCTCGGGGCCACGCGACCACCGCGTGATCTCGAGAGAAGGGAAAAAGAAGAAAAGAAAAGAAAAAACAGAGAATCACCGACCAACAAAACGTGGGTCGTGTTCTGTCTCTCCGCGAATAAAATGCCCGTGGATATCGGATTGCACATCGCCTACCTTTGCACCGGTGCAGCAGAGCCTCGACGTCCGCGCGACGCCTTCCCGGAAACACTCGAAGCAGAACGTCCACGGGGGATCGTTGCTGCTGTTGCTGTTGCTGCTGGTGTTGCTGCTGCAACTGAAGCCCGCAGCTCTGTTGGATGTTCTGCATCTGCATCTGCATTTGAATCTCCCGCGGTTCCGGCATGTGATGGTGATGTTGGTGTTGGTACAACGCCGGTGAACAGTAGAGCGAACTCGCTGCTGGACCGTAAAGAGGCGCGTACGGGGGAAAGTGCACCGCCGTCGCCGCAGCCTGGAACAGAGGATGAAACGGCTATTGTTATTTTATTTTTGCTGTTATTCAAGTTTTTTGTCGGATAAAGTTAATGATTTTTGAGTGATCTTTTCCAAGTTTTCGATAACATCGATTCTTTCGT